CCCCATCTTGTTTTATAAACTTCCTTCTCCTTCCTTTTTTGTATTTCCCCTCTTTTCTCACTCTGACCTTTCTAATGCCAAACATACATCTTCATTAGGGGTCAGACAAAGCCCCTGTGAAGGAAAGCTTAAAGTATTTATTTTGGCAGAAAATATGAAGATGCAACCCTTTCTCTTTGATAGAATACCTGTATTAAAAGTGATCAGTGTTCTCTGTTTTTCTAAAAAAAATTAATATCATAATATAATTACATAATTCTTTCCTTCCCCCAAACCATTCCATAGGCCTCTCCTTGCTCTCCTTCAAATTCATGGCCTCTTTTTTCATGAATTGCTATTACATGCATATATGTGTGTACATATATATTTCTAAATACAGCAGCCTGCTCAGTCTGTATAATGTTACTTGTATTATTTTCAGGGCTGACCATTTTGTATTGAACAGCCAACAGACATGCTCTTCCCTAGGTACTTCTCTTGATCTCTGCATTTCTTAGTTACCAATAGTTCCTTTTGTAGGCTTGAGGCCTCATGGGATCTCCCTTGGCCACTCTGGTATGTCTATTGGTGACAACCTTTAACCATTCTAATTAATTTTCTCTTTTGTTATAATAGAGCCCAAAATAGAAGTAACAAGTCTTAACCTTTAAGAATTCAAAATAATTCAGAAATCATTTCTAAACAAGTAAAAACTCTATTACCTTTGATAGCGGGTAGACAATAAATATTTTCAACCTTAGTAGAGATGAAGGAGACAAGACATGATTCAAGGTAATGGTGCAAGGAAAATCAATATGAACAAACGTTGGCTCAGGGTGGGAATTGGGAATTTCCTGAAGATTTGTTGCCTTGAATAGTAATATTTCCATTTAATATGTCTTATTTTCTCAAGTAAAATAATCTTAAGAAGACATTCTTCCAATTTTTATCTAGTTAACAATATTTTCATCTGTTTGCATAAAATTTTGATCTTAATCTTGATGAAGCCACAAACACGCAGAACTCTCTTGAGTCTGACAGTAATTTTCATTTCTCTCTGACACCTTCTAACAGTGTATGGAGAACAATTTTTGCTTCACTCTCTGTGGCTTCTATCTCCTGAGCTGAGGAAGATGGCTGTTCAGAATAGAGTTGCACAAATACAGGCCAGCATAACTGAGCAAGACAGAGATAGGGAAAGCATCTGCTGTCTGGAAAAGGAGAACTCTCTTTGGAGCAAGTTACATGTAGCACACAATCCATCTTCTACATTGCCTGTGTGCACTTAAATTACTATTATGGCTATATGTTGAAAGCTTGGCCACTGGATGATGGATGCAGTTACATCATGAAGCCTGTGTCCTAGATAATGGACCCCATCTTTGATGGCTTCATAAAATGATGATATTGTTGGGATGTGGAGATAACTGGGGGAAGTAGGTCATGGGGATGTACCCTATACCCTGCCCCCAGGTATAAGCAAAGGTAGGTATCCACCTACCTTTCCCTCTTCTTTCTGTGCACCATGGGGTAAGCCACTGTCCTCTACCACCTGCTCTTTACTGGGATGTTCTGCTGTCCCATGCAGGGACCAAAAAGTCAGAGAGCTGAGTCTCTAAGGACCAAAACTACTCCAACAGTGAGCTAAGGTCAGTCTTTCCCCATCCTATACTGTTTTACTTGGGCATCTTGTCACAGGGATAGAAAAGCTGTGATGAGCAGCATCGATTCTCTCAAGCATAGACAACCATTTCCTTTGATGGCCAACACTTCCTTTCACAAGATGCTCCAAGGATCATAAATTATGTGAGTAATGGGTCTGATACAATATATGTAGGCATGAATTGAAGTCATTGTTCACTGGCTACTCTGTTGTGAGGGTTCATGTGCTACTTTTTTGAAGGTATTTTTAGCCTTATTTAGTAGTGAGAGAGGCACACATATGAGCAGCCAGATAACAATTTCATAAAGTTGGTTCTTCTGTTTATGTGGCTTCCAAAGTTGAACCTCAGGCTGCCTGGCTTGTGAAACATGTGCCTTTACCCACTGAGCCATCTTGCAAGGCGTGAAGGCATTCCTTCAGTTGATAAACATAGCAAACATGTGAGGAACTTTTAGATATGTATGATTTAAAGAATAGTTGGATTCTTACCAATCTTCTAGTGTGACTGAAGCCCTGCTCACTCCATCAAATCACTGCCTCATTGTCATTTCTGGTCTCCTGCCCTTGCTTGTACTGTTCCTCCTTCCCATGCCACCTTTTTCTCCCACGTACAACACTTTCTTAAGGGGACTTCTCTGGACATGTGGCTCACCATTTTTGGGCCCAAGGGTAACTTCAGTTTACCATCACTGACCCCTGATAGCCTGGATACTCTTGCTGCCACTATTCATTAGCCTCCAAGGACTCTAAACATCTGCTTCTTTCTGAACCTCTCACAAATGTTTGGTAAAGCAAAGTAAAAGGCTCTGGGTTTAGAAAGCCCAGGCTTAAATCCTATCTATGCCCTTTAGTTACTATGTTTAGGTTAAACCTTTAAATTCCCCATAAAATAACCAAGTGGTAATTGTTCTTCATACCTGTGTAGAGGACCAGATAAATGGACAGAACAATGTGGAAATAGTAAAGTATACTAGCATGTATGTATACCGCTTCATCATTTTTCCCTGTGGAAAGGACCTGTTAGAAGCATTTAGAGCAAACGCCTTGTGCTACATAGTCATTTAATAGAGAAAGATGCACAATACAAAGGAAAGCCTCTCCAGTGTTATCCAAATTCTGAAGAGGATGCTTTTGGATGGTGTTTCTCTTTTCTCCTTGTTCCTTTGTTAACAGCACATATACTGTGGCCACTATTTCTCTCACTTCCATAAATAATCTATTCTCTAGTAATTGCTTATGTGGCAATAATAACTGTAGGAAAAAGTCTACCTCCCTGGCAAATATGTAGAAAGAGCTGGTGCTCGCTTGTTCCTATGAGGCAAATTGTAGAGCTTCGATGGCTGCCAGTTTGGAAACATAAAATAATGAAGTTAGTTTTAACACTCACCCAAGAGGTGGAATCTGAAGCCCTTAAGTTAGTTCCAGGCATCTGTTAAAACAGCCAGAGAAATCTCCAGCTGCATCCCATGGGCCAGTAATAACATCAAGGCTATTCCTCTCCAGTGTTGGAAATCTGGATGAGTGCAATTCACAAATCCATAGATGGGGAAAAAGCAGATGTGCCCTGTCAAGTCAGGCAATGTGTATAGAGGAAGGAGGAAGCTTAGCATATGTGCAGGTAGGAAATATCCCCAAATGGTTGTGTATCCTCAATCCTGCCAAAAATTCAGGCTGTGTTTCATAGATTTGCCATTGTCTTATCTTTGGCTTGAACCTTAGCATTTTATAACCACCCCCACACACACACACACACATATATACTAAATTAAGACAGTTCTTAGGTCTTTATTTTGAAGTCTTCAAAGATGAGGGGATGGTTAGCCATCATTTAACTACTCCAGTGATCTAGAAAATCAAATATCATTGCCTAAGACACATTCATAATTGCATAAGAGACCCAGTAGGTAGGTGGAGAGGAGCAGAGCTAACCAAACACAGCAGTGGCCCTCCTGTGTAACTGTTTTAGATCATGTGGTGATCATGCTGCCCAGATGCTAAGACAAAGGAGGCCAGAGTGACCAACTGACCACCAGAATTAGGGTCTAGATAGGAACTTAACATGTAGCCAGAAAGTGGTGAACAAAGAAGACCATGGTATGGTGTACCCAGCATTGGTACTTCTGGGTGAACTCAACTGAATCTGAGAATGTTTGTGCTCCTAACCCTTGGCTTTCCAAATGTTCCTTAAAATTAGTAAATACCCATGAGTTTGATTAAGTTCACTTATATCCACTAGGCTGGCTTATTCATTGAATGCAGTTATCTTTTAAAATATAGCCATTCATTGCTAGTTACACTGTGAGAAATTCATCACTAGATGACTTATGTCAATGTGTGAATGTGATGGAGGACACTAGCACAGCCCTGGATGCCATATCAGTCAATTCCCAACATGCCTTTTGATGTAGTCAAGAGAAGCACTAAACATGTATTATGTGGATCCACCAGTGCTGTGACACAGCATGGCACCTTATAGCAAGCAGTTTTCTATCAGGGGCATACTCTAAAGTAACCATAAAAAGCCTAACATAGTAAATAAACCAGGAGCACACACATCCGGGACCACTGGCAAATATTGTGCTTTGCCCATAGCTATATTTCGGCAGTATTCTCCTACTAGTAACACAGATTTGCTTACAGCACCATTGCCATAAACACATGGATAATGCTTTTGCAGCACAAACTACCAGCAGGTCCTAGGTCACTGGGCAATGGGAATTTTTCAACTTTATTTTAATGTTAGGGGAATCCTCTGGTACATGCTGGCCATCCTCGATAAACCACCATCAGATTGTGTTGGTTGTGTGGGCATGGCTAACCATAATATCCTGATCTTAAACAGTACAAACCCAACCTTAGCCAAACAGCTACTACTTAGTAAAACAGCAGAAAACCTCAGGAAGAGTCAGGTCATTGGTCATCTGAAGTCTCAGGGCCTTAACCAAGTATCTAGGACAGCCGCTGTTAGCATCTCCCTCCTTTGGACCATCCTTTCCCTGTTCTCTTGAGATTAAATCTCTCTCACAAGCTTTTAAATTGAGTTCTGTCAGTAATTTCTCCTCTTCGTCACATGACTTTTTCTCTTATGAAGTAAAGTATGTGTACTTTCAGGCAAGGTGATAAGCAGAGAGACTAAGTTCAGCCTCAGAAGCCTTGGGAAATGATCAGCTCATCCTAAGAACTGAGTTGGAAGAAGCTTGGCATTAAGATTAATTCCTTGACTGTCTTTAGAGAGGTTGCGGAATTCAAAACGGTCTGCCCACAACTACACTTTAGGCTGTATTTCCACAAAAGAAGGCTATTAGATAAGGGTAAGAAATATCTGAGCCTAGCTTCACCTGGCAAAGCAGAACAAATTTCAAGTGTGTGAGAAAGGATTGAAAAAAGCAGTGCAGGTGATGGTGCTGGCATCTGAGTGAGGCTCTGGGAAGCAGCCTGGGGGTGGGGCTTCACTGCTGCCTCGGAGCAAAGCCTCTATTTCCCCAGAAACCTGGAGTGATGGACGGGCAAGTAACCCCTAGTCTTGACTTCTGCCATGATGAGTCTACTCTCACTTATTTGTATATGGGGATTTGCAGGAAAATGTAGCTCATTGTTTGCACTGTCTGGACTTAAAAGATTAAGACCTTTCATGACCACCTTATAGATCCGAACACAAACTAGGGAAGTGCACTCAGAAGACACATTAGCCATTTCATCTGAAGTAAGCATCAACATTTGTCTCTACCATGTGATGTGAATTCCAACAAGACTTGAAATATTAGGTACCTCATCTATTCCATTTTAAGGTAAATTTTATTATAAATTCCCAAGACATGAAGACAGTCCTTGGAAGAGGTTGCATATGTGGCACAATCTTCAAGCCAAAGTCTAAGTTACTAAAATTGGCTGAAGGAGAGTTTCCATGTGGAAAACAAGAATCATATTTTGAGAAGGCAACAGGACGTCTTTGACACCTTCTGGAAGCTTACATCTTACACTGGCATGTGTATTATGATATGAGGTTAATTTAGTTTTTAGTGTATATTTGAACACATCGTTTTTATTTAGTGGTAGTGCCTGGCACATAGCTAAGCTATATATACCTTCTTAGTATGTAATTGTCATGGTCTAGGAATTGTAAGATGTGCTGTCTTCAGTAAGCTCAGGATATCTGTAACAATGACATAGCTCATTTTTCTGTAAAAAGCTAGTTAAAATTTATAGTCTTGCTGAAGGATAGAGAACATTTTTTTAGAGTTTTAAACCTTCATGGATACAATATTACTACAAATCTTATTTGCACACCTGTGAGCTGGCTTGGTAAAAAAAAAAAATTGTGAGCTATGCAAGGCTGCTAATATGAGCATGTTCCCAGAATCCATATAAAGAGAGCAGAGAGACCACTCCCAAAAAAGATGTGATCTAGTCTTCATATATCTGTCATAGCCTACATGCCCATAACCACAACACACTAAAACCAATGTATTAATCATATCAATCATTTAAGTAGCAAAGCCCAAACAATCACAGCAATAATTGGAAAGTACAAATATAACAAGAAATGGGGAAAGGTGAGTAAGAGTTCAAGAAGAAAGTAATCCAATGAAAGAACCAGGATGTACAGTGTGATGGCTGGCCAATGATTCATTTTATTCTGATTGCATTAAAATCTTGTAGTTCTTTTAAAACAAATGTGCTATATTTGTAGGTTTGTCTTTGTGTCTCCTCTATCAGTGCTGCTGCTTCTGTTGTGTGATATTATTAAGTACATGTACATCCAACTACTGTTGTTTCTCCAGAAAAACTGGGATTTTATGTATTTTTATATTCTGAAAATGTTCTATACTATCGTATTAGTTCCTTGAGTTTTTATTGTTTTGGCACATATTCTGTGGGGAATAAGTACATTTTAAAAATCTATTCTAACCTTCTGTCTTCCTAATCCTTTTGTCCTTAACTAGGATTTTAGAGGGTTTTTTTCCTATGTAATATTTTTTACTGATTATTTGAGAATTTCATGTCATGCACTCAGATCAAACTTACTTCCCAGTCCTCTCAGGTCTGCTTCCCATCTTAGTGGCCTCCCCCCTAAAGAAGAGGAAGAGGAGGGGGAGAGGGACAGAGAGTGAGAAGGAGGAGGAGGAGCAAGAAGAAGACACAAGCATATACTCATTGGAGCATGGTCAAACTCCCAGTAGCCAGACAGTTAAAGAAACCTGAGTCCTTCCCTTCTCAAACCCTGCCAGTAGCCATCAATTATGGAATGATTTAATTCAGCATCCTTATCACAATTTTTAAGAGTGCTCTTCAATGGTTTCCCATCTAGGATGTTATTTTTTTAGGTAGGTGGAGGGGGTAGGGCTTGTCACAGAAGCCTTCTATGTCCCTCTTTCTCAGCCTTGAGTCTGCAGTCATCAATACCACTGCAAAGTAGCTTCCTTCCCCTTTGCAGCCAGCAGAAACATGACTGTTGTAGAGTTATAAAGTCTAAACATTGAAACTGAATTTGAATGAAATTTGGAAAGACTTGTAAACAAAATTAAGATGGGAGAACTTGAAAGATAAAAGGATTTGAAATCTGCCCAACACCACCTTTTCTATCCAAGAAACCAGTCACTTTATGAAGTGGAAATGGTCACCACCTTGTTCCTGCATTTCCTGTCCTGCATTTCTGTGTTAAAAGGGTGAAAGAAAAGCCATGCTTAAGCTGAGGGGATGCTTTCTACCCAAGGATCTGGATTAGAATCTCAGTCCCCACATTAAAAGATGGGAGCAGTGAAACATGCCTGTAACCCTGGTAAAGAATAAAGAAGACAACTGACATTGATGCCTGGCTTCCATGAACACCAACATGCATTATGCACAGAGATCTAGCTCCCTCCTCCCAGGGGTGTGGGAGAGAATTGTATTGTTCACTAATGTAGCTCAAAGCTAATAACTACCAGATGAAGGAAAAATAAGAAGAAATCGGCCCGATTGTTGTACCATATGCTAAAATAAATGGTCAAAGGGAGCACAGATTCCATTATAAAATTAGTAAGCTACACAGAAGAGAAATTTTTTTTACTTTGGTTGAGCAATGTTTTAGATACAACATAACACACATTATATAAATGAAAACAGAAATCAGATTTCATCAAAAATGTTAACTTCTGATCTTTTCATAAATATTCAGGGACTGAGACATATGTACTAAGAGAAAATATTTAAAAAGCACATGTCTGTAGAGTGAATTATATCCAAACCACACAGAAGATTTTGAAAAACCAACAGTGTATAAAAAATGCAATCATAAAATGAAATGATTTGTGTACACACATCACACAAGAAAACTTATCAGTAACAAAAAAGCAACTGTTCAATGACTTAGCCATTTCCCTTAAGACAGAGGAAAAGTCAGTAGAAAACTCAGATAGAAATTCAAACTTCCACCAACTCCCCAGATGACAGTTTGTTATTAACTGTTAATAGGTTCTATTAACACAATTCTTGGAATTGCAAGATAATCCATAGTCTCAGAAAGATCAGCTGGTAACTTAGGGAAGAAGGCAGGTACAAGGGTCAGACAGGAAAGAAGATGAAAAGATGGCTGAGGAAATCAAATTTAGAGGGATTGTGATGATTTTTCTCATCCCAGGGTACCTGTTTGTCCAAACATTTTAACTTGTATACCTTTCACATATGCAATTGACTATATTTATATAAATTAAAAACATTTTTCAAAGGCATGTTGCAAAAGAGGGGCAATATCATTCCACTTCCAATTTTATAAGACCTATGCAACCTTGGGATGCTTAGATGGCAGAATACTATTTCACTTAAGACAGAATAGTAGACATTTGGCAGGGCTGTGGTAGCTGGCCATACCTGACATTCTACACACTGATTATCCATGTTGTTGACCACATATTTTTCCAAGACGGATTTTTAAAAGAGATAGATATCCTCAATTTTGGCTCCTGGCTATTATTCATACTCTATTTCAGAGGTTCATGGGGGGAGAAGTATATATAAGAGCTCATTATCTGTTTGTTGATGGAACTTCCCAGCATGTTTGTACATGTGCACATGCACATATATGTGTTATTTTCCTGCTGCAAGTCCTACTTGAAAAGAGCATAATCTTTATCCATGTTTATGGGAAGAGGGGAATGAATTCTGTCAGGTGAGCAATATATCATTCTGTAGACTGGACCTTTGTGTATTAGACTCAAAGTTCTCCAAATGCACAGGTCCTCTCACCCTGTGCAACCACCACTCAGTGTGCCTTATAAATACAGAGGCTCTGGGACAACAGCCAGGGCCTTACTAGCCTGTTTCTACTGTCATCCTTGATTAGGATGGTGAACAGACATTGAACACATTGTCTGTCCATCTCGAGATCCTATGGTCCTATTTTTCTCCTATTAAAAAAGATCCTACTAGATAAAGGCTCTAGGAGAAAGACATTTAAGGTAGCCTCTCAACTATTGTTTAGATTCAACCTTGTAGATCTCTGGCTGATGGAAGCAGAAGCAGACACCCACAGCTAAACACTGAGCTGAACTTTGGAATCCACTTGCAGAGAGGGAGGAGTGATGAGTAAAGGGGTCAAGACCAGGCTGGAGAAACCCACAGAAACAGCTGGTCAGAACAAGGGGGAGCTCATGGACCCCAGACTGATAGCTGGGAAACCAGCATAGGACTGATCCAGACCCCCTGAACATGGGTGTAAGTGAGGAGGCCTCAGCAACCTATGAGGCCTCTGGTAGTATTAGATCAGTATTTATCCCTAGCAAAAGAATGGACTTTGGGTGTCCTTTCCACATAGAGGGATACTCTCTCAGCCTAGACACATGGGGGAGGGCCTAGGCCCTGACCCAAACGATATGACAGACTTTAAAGATCCCCCATGGAAGACCTCAACCTCCCTGGGGAGCAGAAAGGGTATGGGATAGGGGGTCCATGGGGGCAGGGGAGAAGGAGAGGGAGAGGGAACTGGGATTGTCATGTAAAACAAGCTTGTTTCTGATTTAAATAAAAAAGAAAAAATGATGTTACTCTTCTTTCCATTGGCTCCAAGATAACATGTGATTTTCCTGTGGGAATAGACAGACAAAGCCTGCAGGTATGACGCTAATTGTGGCTATCATGAGCAACGTTATTTTGACAAATACTGCCAAACATTGGCTCAGATTTTCCAGCAACTTCAACTTTGGAGTGAAGGTTATATAGGTAGGAGCTTTTTGGACTTCATTAGATACTTCTGCATCTTTTGGAACCACCCCTTTGTTAGGATTAAAGTCTCTTTATTCAAGAAGACACCAAGGCAAAACACAGGCCAGAGCTAGGTTATAGAACCCAGCAAGCACGGCCAGAACAAAAGGGGCCCGGGTGCCCACGTGCAGCCCCTTAAGAAGCTCTCTTATGTCACCCCGGCTTTCCTTCACCACGCCCTTATGGGTGAGTCCCAGGTCCACCTGGTACCTGTCCCAGGACTATTGGGCGGGGCTAGGGTGTCTCCCTACAATTCCCCTTTTAGTCTAAAAGAGGATTAAAACTTAAATATCCAAAACTAACAATCATAAGGATGAAATATAAGAAGATACAATAATTTGCTATGGTACATCCTATGTCTATCCTAGCTAGGTCTTAAAGTCATGTGGAAAAAGTGTCCAACTTGAACACCTTCTTCCAATCCCAACTCTAAACAATAAGAAGGTCATTCTTAACTAGACTTA